AATCTCTGCAAATTATGCTACTATAAATGAGCAACATATGTGGCACTACAAAAAGTAAACCCAGTTCAATCCATTTTGTAGAACAAAAGTAATTGGAATCATATATATTATTATAAGACCATTTTCTGCAGTGCTAAAATAATTAGCAAGTGTATAAACTTCCAATTAACTAAGTAACACAGTAGAAACTTATAAATAGGAGAAGTCTGACCGGTCCTTGTGCAAACAGAAGCAGGAAGGAGCGGAAGTGTGTGATTGTGGTTCTTTCTGAAGGTGATGCACATGTCTGACATACACCTGGGAAAACAGCCTGTTCAACACTTACAAAGGACCGCAGTTCCGAGAGCACGTTCGATATCACCGCGTTGGGGTCATCGCACTCCTGGGGCTGCTCGAAGGGACGTCCCGCTTTCGTGATCAGCCAAGCAGCGAGCGTGCAAAACATGAAGAACTGCTCACCAGGATTGGTGGGTAGTGCAAAGTAGTGCCTGTTTCAAAAGCAGGAAGAATGACAAATATTATGAGCTCCTGGAGCTCTTACAGCATTACAGGCCAGCACACACCACAGAGCAGTTTCTTTCTCTGACTTTCTCAATGAGCAATCCATCTGAACTAAATTCAGGATGCCTGGTTTCACACGTAATCACAGCAGGCTAAGTTTTCACAATCCAGCTCACTTGTTTCCAGCTTTGAGTGAGCTATTAATCAACATTAATTTCCAAGGAATCAAATAGAAACTGGGTACTCCTCTCTCCTGCCAGCAGGATACCTTCAGTTAAACACCACCAAATTAACATTTCCACACAAACTAAACTTACTCCCCTCGTTGGAGGAGCAACTTGGAGGAGTTGTTTACCTGAGCAGTCTCAAATCGCGATGAGCTCAATTCTGTTACCATTATAGAGATGCAGAATCCCATCACTTCATAAAAATACTACCACTGGCTAATGGAGAACCTATGCAATAGATCCATTCAAGTATCCCTTGCTTCCCTGCTCCAAACATCCCAATGGTCTGACAGCTCGCTAGAACCAATTTACAGCTGCTGTGCTCATGCTTGAGCCTGCTTCCCAACCAGGGAATAATCTGGACTGCCTACCTACCAAAATGTTGCTTACAGAAAGCTTAACTGTGACACGCTGCTGTGGAGCCTGGTTGAACCTGACAAGATGGGTTTGGAAGTTATTTGGGTAGGTGGATGTTTGGAACATATTGGTCCCATTTCCCAAGTTTCCTGCTCCCCCGATAATTAAAAAAAAAAAACCAAACAAACATATGAAGAAATGGATATGGATATGAAAACCCAGATGGATATGAAAACCCAAACTTAACAAGAATGGATCCAAGACCCTTTTTGCAAAGGGTCAAAAAATATATACTCCCCACAAATAGTTACGCTGAATTCAAGACACTCGGGATTATTCAGAATTATTTAGAATTTAGGTAGAACTATTTCTGGCACAGGTACCTTGGCCTGCAGCTTTCCAGTACCTGTCGGGGGGCAGGGAAGCTCAAGTGCTATTTACTTATCACATCTCAGCCTTCGGCGTTTTGAAAGCTTCCAGATGACACGGGAAGCTGTGCCTCTGGCTGGTTTTGCCTTGAGCCAGGACCTGGCTGGACCTGCCAGCCGGGACCTGCCCTCCTTCTTTCCCTGGGACTTCTCGCCCTCCGACCCCTCCCGCCGCCGCGCTGGGCCAGGAGCACCTGGAGAGCGGCCGCATGTTGTGGCGCCTCAGCGCCTCCTCCTCGCAGCTCAGCAGCTTCAGCTTGTCCAGCAGGTCCTCCATGACCACGAACATGTGAAAGGCCGCGCCGGGGCCGCGCTCTGCCGGCCCCTCGTCCGCCGGCCGCTCCCGCTCCCGCTCCCGCTCCCGCTCCCGCTCCCGCTCCCGCTCCCGATCCCGATCCCGATCCCGATCCCGATCCCGATCCCGATCCCGATCCCGATCCCGATCCCGATCCCGATCCCCCCGCCGGCCCATCCCGGCCTCCTCCGCCATCTCGGCCGCCCGTAACCAAGGCAAAGCGGCCTGGGGCGGGCCGGCCACGCCCCCCGACCAATCAGCGCTCACGGGGCAGAGTAACCCCGCCCATCATCACCATATATGGCGGGGGTGTGGCCCGGCCGCTCCTCCCGGTGCCGCTGGATCTTTAACTTTCCCGGTTCCCACGAGCTTCCCAGCGCCTCGCACGGTGCCGGCGCAGGGCGGGCAGCGTCTCGCGGCCTCAGGTGCGGTACTCTGCAGCTGGAAGAGTAAGTCTCGGGAGCTGAGGAGCTGTAGCGGGAGGTCAGTTGCGGCCGGCGGCTGGAAGTGCCGCGGGGTGGTGGGGAAGGGAGCGCGTGGGAAAGCTGGGACTCCCGGGAATGTACTTGGCACTGGTGAGGTACTTCGAGTGCTGTGTCCGGTTCTGGACCGCTCAGTTCAGGAGGGACACTGAGATGCTGGAGTGTGCCCAGAGAAGGGCGGCAGAGCTGGGGAAGGGTCTGGAGCACAAGTCTGATGGGGAGCAGCTGGAGGAGCTGCAGGGGCTTAGCCTGGAGAAGAGAAAGCTCAGGGAGACCTTATCACTCTTTACAGCTCCCTGAAAGGAGGTTGTAGCCAGCTGGGAGTCAGTGACTTCTCCCAGGCAACTAATGACAGGACAAGAGGACACAGCCTCAAGCTGCACCAGGGGAGGTTGAGGTTGGACATTAGGAGAAATTCACAGAAATTGTTGTCAAGCTTTGGAATGGGCTGCCCAGGGAGGTGGTGGAGTCACCATCCCTGGAGGTGTTCAAGAAACAGCAGGTTGCAGCACCTTATTGACAAGGTGGCAATCAGTCAAAGTTTGGACTTGATCTCAGAGTTCTTTTCCAACCTAAATGAGTCTGTGATTCACTGAATGTAGGAGGCAAACCTCACCTGTGTACTGCTGACACCAGACAAGGCCTTTGAAGAGAGACACCTCTTCTTCTGACTTCTTCCTGCATTTTATTTGGGTTTTTTGTAAGCTCTCTTCCAGAAAATATTTGAATCATTCTGTCATTTCTTCTACAGGAAACCAGATAGCACATGCAGGGCCTGAACTGTCCGGAGAAAAAGAAGCACTAGGGAAATATTGTTAGAAACTAATCACCTAACCCTGCAGGCAACCCAAGGCACCTTCTTGTTTCACATTACCAGCTTTCTGAGAAGAGTGTCATGATGTTTTCAGTCTTGTCTTCTTGTTCTCCTGTGCCCACACAGAGCTGACCTCGCTCCCTGTGCCAGTGTTGTGTCACTGTAAGGGCATTGCAGGTCTGGCTGCTGCTGCTGCGGTGCTCTGGCTCTCTGGGTGCCCCAGCACATTCCCAAGTGGCATTGACACTGCTGTAGAGATCACATTACTGATGAGAACTGATTTCTTCTCAGTTACAGCTTGCAGGAGTTAAAATTAAAGGGTTTGCTCAACAAAGCTGGGCAAAAGAAATGGTTAAGAGAAAAAGTCTTTTAATCCCAAAGAGAGAGAAAAGGAACACAAAAAGTGTGAAAGCTTCACATGTATAGAAACTTAGTTTGCACTGGAGAAACAACTGCTTTCCTTTATGGGAAAGGCATTAACTGTACCATGTGTGTGAGGCAAAGATCAACAGAGAGTGCTGTATATTTGGTTTTTTGTATATTTTGGTTGCCCATGCAGTCCCCAAAGGTGTCACAGAGGTACTGTTTGAACCATGTTACTCTGAGAGCATCACTGCCAATTAAATGTGATTGTCTGTTAAATGTGGCACATCACTCACTAAGAGAAATATAGCATTAATTGCTGGTTTTGAAAACAGCAAGCATAATATGTTGTATCAGTCTCAAGTTAGAAGTGATGGGCAAGTGAGTGAAGAACCCAATGAAACATGATCTACACCACTAGTAAGTGGAAAGAGAAAAGAAGGTGGATACTGGCAGTTGTTGCTGACATGGAGCAAAGTTATATATCATAAATGTTTGTTTTACTCTTTCATCACCTCTGTCTCAGATTTAATAACTTGATGCGTCTTTGTTGGTTTTGGTTTAGTTTTCTCTCCTAATGAATAGTGAGAATACATAAAACAATCACAGTAGCTTTACAAAAGAAATAACATGCAAAAATCATTGGGGTGTAAGATTTACATTCACCACAAATACAGTGACACCCTCCAGTCAAAGTCATTCATTAGTATCAAAAGAACTGGCTAGCAAGCCTGGCTAAGCCTGTGCCTTGTGTAAGTTAGGAATGGTACCTATAGCTGCCTTTTGAGAGGAAGAGGACTAGGGAAAGCTCTTTAAACTCTTTTCAAGCTATTTGATTCGTGAGGTAATTTCTCCACTGTGGCATGCTGTATTTTAGGATGTTATGCCTGAATGGAGGAAGAGTGCGGTTTATCAGCTACAATAAGATTATTCTTTTTCTATTATGCATGAGAGCCTTCAGTTCATTGCTATTTAAGTGACAAACCAGAAGATATGATGAGAGACTCTCCCCTGCCTTTGCATTCCTACCCTAGACTTCTATAGACACCTTTTTGAAAGTTCAGCTGATGTCCTTTTGATCTGATGAAAAGTAAAGTGTGAAAAGTTCTCTATATCTGCAATATTTGCAAATACAATCAAATTTCCCACCCAAGACAGTCAAGTGTTGTAGTAATCAGAAATATATTTTAAGAAGTAAAAAACAAAAATCACGCTTGACAAGGGGCAATGTTACATCATTTTGCAAATTATACTTGACCATTTTTATTTGATGTCCTGTTCAGGAATGATGAAGATTAATATACCCTAACCCTGCAAGAACACTGAGTATCAGTCTGCAAGGTAATGAGAGGACCTCAGCCATTATGAAATGTATAGGATCCTAAGGCCAAAAATCTGGGCCAAGACTTTTGGAAATAAAAAACATGGTACAAAGGCCTACAGTTCCTGTACAAAGGAAATTATATCATTATGGTGTGTCTTTTACCTGCCTTTAAGCAGGTTTTCTCCCCTTCTTTATGATACCAGTTTGACATGAGTCTACTACAAACCAGTGAAGACATGAAGGGACAGAACATATCAACTCTTACCATCTATTTATTTTACATCAGTGCTACACTTTGGTGTAGGTTTTAGCTGACAAATAATAAAGACAACAATGATTACTTATTTCTAATAGGGAGAATTAATTAATTCAAACACCGTTTATTAATGGTAGAGAATTGAGGAGTGTGTGAGGAATGCACACCCTGATTATCTCTGGGGTCCGGGACAGAGCTCCTGGTCTGTGGTGGCAAAGCTCTTTCAAGACGTTCTGCCCTTCCTGCCAGTTACACCATCATGTCCTTTTTTTCCCTGTGATGGTACAACTGCTTGGCACCGTGTGAGGCTGGTTGGTAACGTGGGTCATTGCAGCATGGCACTGGGAAGGTATGAGCAAACTGCAGCTCAGAAGGGTTTGAAGTTCAAGGTGGAAAAGGTGTGGAAACACATTTGAAGCTCAGGTGGTAAGGTGGCAGTGTGCTGATTTGAACATGTAGGTGTTTATTTAGGATTTCTACCTAAAGTTTACTTCAAGTTTAAAGACCAGAGCTCTGTGTTATAATATTGATTAAACTGAATGAAGACCCTTGCTGTCCCAAGGGACTCATGCAGCAGAAAAGCCATGAAAGAGACATTGGCACACTGGGTAGGAATGTGCTGCCTGCAAGAGTATTTTTTTTGTCAGGGCTAAGGAAGGGCAGAAGTATACTTATAGACTGGATTAAACTTACTCATTTGTACTTATGGGCTTTAGGTTGTACAGAACAGGAAGAAGTTACAGGGCTGTTTTCCAAGGATTGCATCCTGCCTTGTCCTTTCCCACATGGGAATGATGTTGTAATTCACTGGCACAAAGGGGGAAAACGTCTGCACTCCTACTACCACCACCAAGGCAGATAGCTCAGAATATGTTAACAGAACACGGCTTTTCCATGAGAACATCCCTAGTGGAAACACCTCCTTGAAAATTTGTAACCTGACTGTGACTGATGAGGGCACTTATGAATGCTATGTGGGAACAACGCAAAATTCTACAAAACGGAAGGTCATGCTGCATGTAAAAGGTCACTAAAACATCAAAAATGCTTGGATAGTGACAGTGGAAATGGGATGATTTTCTCATGTTGTTTCTCACATGGAATCAAAATCCTCCAACCCAGTAGAGCCCATTTTGAGCTGATGGTGTTATGAAGCAATTTGCTGTCTCTGGTGAAACACTGTAACATGAGTTGAAAAATTACAGCGCAGCACTTGTTTTCATAACCTACTGCACAGTGGTTTCTAAGGGATTATGAGGTGGTATATGTTATGTGGCTTCTCAGAACAGTACAGACCCTGGCATTGACAGTTAAGTTGCTATGCTTTCTTCTGAAATTTTGAAAGTAGTAAGATTTATTTTTTTTCCTTTAGTTGTTTTTTTTTTTCCCCCATCTACAGTCTCCTCTTACTATGCACTGGAATACCAAAAGACAGACACAGAAAGGAAACTGAAGTGCTATGCCTTTCTCACTTATTCAGCACCAAATATGTCTTGGCTACAAGGCAATATATCCATCCAAGAAACAGATCATAAGGAAACCAGGGATGGAGTCCTCTATTCTCTTAGAGGTGACCAGAACATTATAAGCACAACAGCAGATCCTTACTACTGTCGTAGTCATGTCCATTGTTTAATCTGGACTGCTGAATGGAAGATGCAAGGTAGGAATGAATGGAAGTCTCATCCTGCATCATTACTAAATGTCACAGGTGGCTTCAGAGCCAAACTGAGGACAGTATTTCTGCAGTGGGGCAACATGGATATGGAATAGTGCAAAAGGATGTACCCTTCTCTTTGAAACTCACCTGTTAGGATTACAAGGCAACATTACAATTTAAATCCAAGAAGTAGAAATGAGAGGGTCTAGCTCACCCTTCTGTAAGTTACTTTTACTCTGAATATTTCTTCCATATCAGTTTCACATTTTAAGAGGTACCTAATAAATAAACTTTACACTCTATCAAGGAAAGAATGAACTTGGACAAAATACACAGAAACCTTAGAGAATATGTGGGTTATATGAAAGTTTGCCTGCTGCTCTAGATGCATATGGTCCTTACTCAGTCCATTTCCCATCTTTTGCCAGACTTTTAGCAGTACTGTTTGCTCCTTCCACTGTACATGCGTTCTTAGGTGCCAGTTTGAGTGCTGGGCTGCATGGGAATGGAGAGCAGCAAACACTGCCTGCATTTTAGCAAACAGCAGCTCATTTAGTTAGTTCAGGAAAATCAGGACTATGAAACTTCAACTCTGTTTTGTCGTCCTCCTGAATTTCGTTGGAAATTCAGTTTGAGTAAATAACTGGTACTTTTCGACCTCTCCTGTATCTTAGGAAATATTTTTTAACTGGATGAAGAGCAGTTTCCTTGTGAGATGTGCATGGCTGCTTCCATCACCCTAGCATGTACCCAGATGCTCTCAGTTCCTAATCCACTGCACGTGCTTCAGAACAAGAATACAGTTGTTAATATATATGGAAGAGCTTACAATATGTAGGGTTTCAAGTATGCTGTCACAGTAGCTGACAGTTGCACTGTAAGTCTCTGTTTTGTTAATCTATGCCTCTGATCCGCAAGAGAAAAAGGTACATTTGGTTACACTTTTATTTGAATTTTCCTGAATTCACCGATCCCCCTCAGTAGAACATTTTGAAAGCAAACTGCCTTAGTTTTCCTTCTATAATAGCAGTGTGAGGTACAGTTCCGTTTTGTTTTGTCTACATGATTTTCTACCCCACACCTCTGTTCATTCAGCCTTACACACAGAAACCAAGCGTGGTTATACCATGTCAAAATAACGTATTAGCTTCCTCTCCAGCTGACTGCCAGCCACCACAGCCTCCTCTGGTTTTCCTTTCTTGGCTGAAAATCCCTGCTGTTAAATTGATGGTTGTGCTATGACGCTAGTTTGTCTTAACTAAGTTATAAAATATTAAGACATTCCTTCCACTTACCTGCCTTCTCCTTCCCTTCCTTGTTTTTTTAAAGCTATTCCTTAACTGTTAAATGTTCAACATAGACAAGTAAAATACTTAAGTCCACTGTAGCTGAAAGCTATTTCTAACTAAATACAATCTTTTTATGCTTTTATTAAATTGTGTTGTAAGAGTTTTATCCTTTTGCTTTAAATGTGCAGGTATCTTATTAGTTACATTTTCTCTCTGCTCCCAGCGTGTGGGATTTCATGCTACTTTACACAGGAACTAAGACTAGACTGAATCACTTCTATTAATGAGCCCCCCAGTTAAAGGAGAAATAGTCAAATGAAAAAGAATTTTTTTAAGTATTGCTGATACCAACTAGATTTTTTTTTTTTTTTAGTGTAAGATAGGTTTGTTTTTAAAATCTTCAGGTCCTTCTAGAAACATATAGTGATGTTTGAATATGATATCAAAGTAGTGAAATATGTTTTTATATTTGTTCATAGTAGTATCAGACCTCGTAAAAAAATCAGAAAATGTCTGAATAACCTTCATAGTATTTTCAAAATAACCTACAGAGAGTTCTTTAATTATCCTTTTCAGATTAACTGTCTAATACAGAAGGAAGTAACACCGTAATTCCTTGTGAATACAGCAGTAACACTGCAAACACTGAAGGTGTCTGTGTTGTTTGGAAATTAAACAGAAATTCAGTGACTTCAGTTGTGGCCTCCTTCAATGGTATATCCCACTCTTACCAGCCTCGAGCCCAGATAAACACAAGTGACCCTTCACTGATCCTGCATGATCTTACTGCAGTTGACAGTGGAGAATGCCTGTGTAATACTTCAACACCTCACTACACAAAACTTTTTGTGGCAACTTTGCAAATTGGTAAGTTGCCACTCCTTTCATTTCAGAGGATGGGGACCAGGTAGGGTGATGCACAGCCAAAGAGTCAATTGGAAATCTTTAAAACATTAGAAAAATCATCTTGTATAATTGGTACAGTTGGGTAGAGGAGACATTTTATTATTGTTGTCCCAGGCAAGAAAAGGTTACATAAGATGTTTTTATTTAAAGACTAGAAATTCCTTCTTTTTCAATCAGCAGCTTATTGTGGCCAAGGTCTCAAAATCGGTGGCTGCCTTCAGTTGCCACGAACTGCCCTCAGAGCTGAGGGCACAGGGGAACTCTCAGAATCCTGTTCTAAATGTTGTGCTCACAGCAAATATGGCTTTAAAGGCAGCAGAGGGATGATGGGAAGCCCAAAGATGTGGTAAAAGTTTGGCTGCAGAAGAAACCTGGTTGAAGAGAACACAACAGTTGTTATTTTCAAAACTTTAATTCTACGCTGTGGGCCTCTTTTATGCCTTTGTATACATATGTTTAAATGAATGCCTGTGTTTTTATAAACTGTAGTAAATTTCCAGCTGTGAAGTCTTAGTTACAGTTTTGTCATTGTCAGCAGCACATATAACAACAGTAGCACACAGGCTACTTTAATTTTACACAATTAAATACAATCACCTAAAGGACTGAGAACTAATATAGGGCACCTCATCAGTGTTTTTCAAGAAAGAAGAGAATTTGAAACATGCCAGGACATGAAAAATAGTGGCAACATAAGTGAAAAGGGGCTAGAATAAGTGATAATAGCTGAATGTTTTTGTCTTCCTTTCTTCCCCCTCCACCATGATAGCTTAGTTTCTTTCTGAAAACTTGATGTTTTAAATGGCAGTGGCTATAGACAACCTGAAGGAGGGGAGTTAGATTAAAGAAAACAGTTAAATCAGCCAAACATACTTCCCTGCAGATCAAATTCCAACATGATCATCCTTATCCTGTAAACCTAATATTGTGCTTCTGAAGTAGGGAGTGTTGAACACCTCCAAGGCGTCACATATTTAACTGGCTCTCCTAAGTTATATGCACAAGTCCATCCAGTTTAAACTTTATGTTTACTGGAGACAGTCCAAATATGATCAGAATCATCCCCTACAAATGTCTTTCTTTAGCTGCTGTCTACAGATGGATCTTACGATAGCCCTAGGTGATAGAAATCCCCTCTTTAGTGGTGAAATTACTGTGCTGCTCACAGAATCTTCCTGCTCTTGGGCCAGAAATACATTACACAGTACAGAGAAGACACTTACCAGAGAGATTGGCACCTTTGTGGCAGCACAGGCAGGTAAGCAGATAGACAGTAGGGTGGAAGGGAACGAGACAGGTCACTCTGTTGCAGAGCAGTTGTGGCACAGTAGCTGCTCAAGCATCAGAAGGATTTCCAAGTGTCACTGGAAAGAAGGCTTTTAAGGGGAAAAGAAGGATGAATTTACAATCATTTAAGAGGGTCTCTCCTGTGTAAGGAAGGGTTGCAGCTTAAAGCTGCTCTACCAGAGGAACTGACAAGATGTGGATACAGAGTCAAGCTAAAGGCAATGACTCGGTTAAATGCTATGTTTTGGCACTTTTCAATTTTTACTGTTTCCAGAGGAGCGTAGAATTTTTCAAATTCTTTGGACTAGACACAGCAGTGGAAAGGTAGCCTGAAGTAGAAGAACCATACAGTTCTTCTGACAGTTTGGTGCCACGCAGAGGTTTGTGCTAGACGGGCAATTGTGTAATCCATTGTTACCACCCACCTTGGGATTTCTTGTGTCCACCTGGATTGCATGGTTGCACTAAGAAGCTGGGAAATGTTTTAGATTAAAGTTGCAAAGATTTTGCAACAGAAGTCGTGGTCCAGGCTGGATAACACTTACAGAGCTGCTCTACTGGAAATCAGCAGAGCCATTAATGGCACTGAGCACCGTGCCTGGAGACAGTGTTTAATATCCTGGGGCAGTTGATTGGTTTTAAATGGGACTAGTGTTAAGAAGTCATCAAATCATACCATATAAACACAAATACAATTCTTTATCAGGAAAATTAAGTAAAATAATGTGCTTTTGGCTTTTTCTCCGTTTCCTTTTAATATTCTTTCTCCCTAAATCATAGCTTTTAGATTATAAATAAGAAAAATCATTGCTTTGATATAGATATTGAACAATAGTGAACATTAATTTGTGATATAAAGCACTTCTGTTAAATTTTTGGAATTTTTATTTTTAAAGAAAATTCAAGCAACACCTGGAAAATTGTGCTAGGAGTGCCTGTTGCAGTAGTGCTGGTAGCAGGATACTGTCTCTATATGAAGGTATGTGCAATCATTAGAGTATTTATTTTTTAAGGTAATATTCCCTCAAGATTTGCATAGGGGTTTGAGTCAAACTTTGCAACTTTTTATGAAGCATTATGACGCATTTGTAATTGGCTGGCTCTGTCTTAAAATATTCTGTCTTTTTCCTCTGCATTTGCTGTGAGTACCCTTAAAAAACCCAAACTTTCATTATTAGCCCATCTTTCTGTGCTTGACAGCACAGCCCTATCCATGGAGAGATATACCTCCAAACTCCCTTGGGTTTTGTCACAGTCTGAATTTGGAAAGCTTCAGGAGGCATTTGACGATGGTTACCGTGAGGTTCAGCAAGAACACGTGATTATGCCTCAGTCATTTTTCATGTGTGTCTCACTTGGAGATTCACTTACATGCTTTTTATTAGTCAATTTTAATGCTAACATGCTTTAGAGATGATAATATGCTTTTGCGATGCCGGTCTTTAAAGAATTTAAGCAAGATTATCTTGGGACCAATTGAGACCTTGAACATATCATAATCAGAGGAAGTGGAACAGTTTACAGGGTAACTCAGCTCTGGTTCCATGATGAAGGACTCGATGGAAGAAACAGGAATGTTTCTGCACTATTATGTGGATGCTTATTTTACTCAGATAATGTTAAAATGGAAAATGCTGACTTAACTTTACAGCAAGTGTGTCTTGTTCTGTTCCCAGTAGGGGATTAATTTTACACTTCAGTAGTTCTTACAAGCATTTTTGTTTTGCCTAGCTACGCAGAAGGGCAGAAATCCTATGAGCACCTTGACGTACCAGAAAAAAAACCAAAATCCTTCTGTGCACACAGGTGCACTTGAAATTGTTGATGAAAAGAACAAACAGTTCCTTCACCTTCCCCCTTCAGTTACAACAAGAAGCCACATGGAAATGTGATTCTCTGAGCAACAGTAACAAACAAAGGAACTGATAGAAGGCGAAAAAAAGTCAATTGACACTTGTATGTGAGAAGTTGGCATGAAAAATTGGAACTTGGATTTCCCAAAGGGTCAGAGAATTTTCCACAGAAGAAGGAATCCCTAAGTTTTGAGGGATTTTTTTTTTCAGTGTTAGGGAAAGAGAAGGCTTACTGTTTTTCATTTCTTTTAGTATTTGTGCTGGGTTACACAAAACTCTGGTATCCACCTTTTCTCTTTTCCCAAAATATGCTAATTTAGGTTGTGGAGAGGGACTTAAGGAGAGTACTCTATTATCCTAGGAGAAGAATGTATCCACAAGTGTGAAAAGACTGGAATGCTGATGCCTCAGACAATCCAGGTGTGCACACCTGCCACCTCAGGCTACCAGCTGGGTGTTGTTTCTTTGTCCTTGCACAAATGACTCATCTGTGATAACTCCCCTCAGGGAGGCTTCAGGACAATTCACTCACATGGCCTGAAGATATTCACCTCTGCTGATGGCCATAGTGGATCCACCTGTGCTGACAGTACAGGCAGCCTTAACATCTTAGAAGGTGTCCAAGGTTCTTGAAATCTCCAGTGATCCAGTATTCATCATTCAGTGAAGAACCACACCTGGACTTCACTCAGGAGGTTGAGGGTCTCCTCCCCTCATTTCATGGGAATTCTACCACCCAGGCCTCTACCACCACCTTTGATGGATCAGGACTACAACCACCATTGGAGTTGCAGCGACCAGGTCTCACTGCTGGATCCAGTGGGTGCCTTGTGAGTCCTTCCAGTCTCAGCCCTGCTCCAACTGCCTGTGCCAGCCACTGCAGCCTCACTCCAGCACTGACCCTCCAAACCATTCCTGCACAGGTTTTAACGGGTGAGGGGAGACTGACTGCCACCTCATTTTGGCATGGTGGGTAGGAGCTTTTGAATTTTCTGGTAAGCTTAACCCAGTTTTATCAGTACTGTTGTTTATTGTTCTTCCTGGTAGAGAGTTATTTTTTTTCATTTACATCCGAGTGTATTTGATCTCTGTCTCTCTCTGTATTGGAGAGAGCCAGGGATATTGAATTGGAGGAAGGATACTTCCATCTGGAGGTCTCCTTCCTCCCCAAACTGTCTCAAACTGAGACAATATTTTAATTTAGTATTAGTATTCTTATTAGTATTTAATATTTATTAGTAGTATTTAATAAGCAAAGACCACCTCCCAGTTTAAAGACAGAAAAGACCTAAGAGAATGCCCTGTTTCTGAGCAACAGGCAGTCCTGCTGGGAGGTGTCCCTTGACAGCATCTCCTGTGTCTGTCCTGCAGCTGGCAAACAAAAATCCTTTGACTGGTGGTAGTGGAAGCTTTTAAACTGACTGTTCTTATGAACATTTTTACTTTCTCCTCTCCTACAAAACCCTGTACTACTGGCAGGACAAATGGAAGTCGGGTTGTCCCAGCTTTAAGGGCTGTCCCTGGGCATAGGTATTATCTGTGCTTCTGTCCTGGTTTCAGCCAGGACAGGGTTAGTTTTTTTGCAGTAGTTGTGAGGGGCGTGGCCAGGACCCAAATTTTATTGGAGACCACCTCACATCATTTCCACAGACAGGGAGAAGGGACTCTCTTCCTGGGAGAAGGGGTTCTTTCCAGCTGAGAAAATGTGGTAGGGGAGCAGTCTGGCATTGTTCATTGTCTCAGGGTCCACAGTGAGCATTTCTGCATGTGAATCACTCTTTGGTGCATTTTTGTTATTAATATTGGTGCTGTTACTGTTCATTTTCTTATCTCATTGCTGTTTCCAGCAAATTGTTCCTATCTCAACCTGGGATCCTCACCTTTTGTGCCTCCAGTTCTCAACTCCATCCCTCCGCAGCGATAAGGGGAGGGGGAAAAGGGAGTGAGAGTGTGATGTGTGGTTTGGAAGAGTCCTGGTGGGGGCACTGAATTGGGAGAGTACCACTCCTAAACCATGACAGCCTTACTTGGCACCCAGTGTGGAGCACAAAGGGTTGAGATGACAACAGATCTTCCCAGAGCGGGTTTGAAACAATTTTGATCTAAGCATTTGCTGTATTAGGTATGGAGCCAGTGGTCACAATATTGCTTGGTCTGTTTATGTGGGTGTGGTACCTAATCCTGTATAGATTCCCATATGTGCTCCTTGAAGTGATCTTTTTCAGAGTAGCGAGAGGAATCAAGATTGCTTTGTTGCTGTACTGTGTGATGTCAGTTTATGACATGATAACGTAAAGGGCAGTGAGGGACATTTGGGATGTACATTAAGTGTTGCTCTCCTGCCCTGGCCTTGAGTGCTACTGGGAATTCATTAATGATCATACCCAGCCTGTGATGGGGAACAAGGGAAGATGATTTTCCCCAAGATTTTCAACCCTTTTTCCTCCTTCATGCCTATTTCAACAGTTTCTGAGATGTTCTTGTTGCTAAGTCTGCCAGGTCTTCCCAGAGTGATCCACACTGTGTTTAGAGTCAAGAAAGTGATTTCTAGGAAGGTCATTCAGAGATCTGCCCTGAAGGTGGTAGTCATGAGTGGCATGGAATGTGGGGGAAAATGGACCAGTTTTTTTGAAAATTCTCTGCTCCAATGATTTGGAAGTTCATCTCTGAGCAACTACAGAACTCTGATAAAGTGACAGGATATTTGCAAAGAGAATGCCATGGCAACTCTGTAGAGGAGCAACTTACTGCAGTGTGCTGAGCCCTGGCCACTATTTATTGGACACTGCTTGTCACTAGACAGCACCCTCAGGAGGAGGAAAAGGAAAGCAGACCAGCAGGCACCATGGCCACTCAAACTGCAGCTGAACCAGAGGAACAACGCATGCCAGTAGCAATCACCCCTATACTGAAGAAGAAATGCAAGACCAACTCCTACATGGCAAGTTGCAGAAACTATTAAGGGACAAGGTTGATCAATCTGCCAAAATTTAAATGTCTCAGGTGGATTTGGACTGGCAAAGGTGAATTATTTCTGGCTTGATGGGCCCATTATGCATCAGGTCATCAGGGAAGAGATGCAACATACAGATGGGCTCGTGAGTGAGGATTGGATTTAACCATGGACACCGTCTCCCAGGTTATCCATAACTGTGAAACAATGTGCTGCAATCAAGCAGGTGAAGCCTCTGTGGCATGGTGGTCAATGGCCAAAATATAAATATGGGGAGTCCTGGCAGATTGATTCCATCACACTCCTGCAAACCCACCAAGGCAAGTGCTATGTGCTGACAGTGGTGGAGGCAATCACTGGATGGCTGGAGATGCACCCTGTGCCTCACTCCACTACCCAGAACACTTTCTTAGGCCTTAAAAATCAAGTCCCATGGGGACATGGCACCCCGGAAACAACAGCTACTTTAACAATCTGCATATGACATACATGAGGCTGTGAAGCGTGACTGGATTTGCCCTTGGTTTTGATTTTGTCAGAGATCTGCCAATTAGGATTTGTTCCAACATAATGAAGTGGGCTGTTGGCAAGATGTAATCTTTTATTGATCCCTGAGGCTTGGCAAAATAGAAACGCAAATAAATGAATGAAATAAATACACTATAAAGTCTGTTTGGATTTTCACTTCATGTTTATTTCTGTAAGTGCTTATTTTTTTTCCTACATCTGCTTTCAGTTGTGCCTGATTATATCAAGTATCTTCTCATATCTGTCAGCTTCGATTGAGCTTACTCCTCTTCATGAACCTGAAATGCAATTGAGATAGTATAGGACTGTTAAAAAGAAAATGGCAGTGTTGAGGGGTTTTGGGGTAAAGTCACAAGCAAATGACAAAAGCTTCTATTTACTAATGGTTCTGCTCCCTGGTATTTCTGGTTTGTATCTGAAATAGTCTAGCAGCAATCTAGCCCATCTTTGCCATTTCACTGCGCTAACAATACAGCTGTCTTGTCCTCATTCTAGATTGTATATATATCCCTTTGAGAGCAGAGGACTTCTATACAACCCTGTTTCAACAGGTGGTGTTTCCAGGAAAATGGGTATTAGTAGCAGTAGCCAAGGTATTTCTCATGCTACATGATCAGAGTAGTCTCTACAGTGCCTTTCTCTCCCCAAAGATATTTCATGACTTTTGGGACAGCACTCACTGCCTGAACACGTCTCTTGGCAGCTATTGCTGTTACTGCCACAAAACTCTTTTTGTGGAGCTGACACCTCTGTGTGCACTGTTGAGCTCAGCTTTTAGCAGCGCAACACTCTGCTCTAAACCAGAGCTGGAATTGGTGTTGGCAAATAGCATCTGATTAATAAAACCAGATATCCACTGTTCTATGACTTTTGCATATTTGAGGCAGAAAGAGAGTACTACTAAGACACAGGGAATAAACAGCAATCTTAACAGTATTTACAAAAATAATTTACTCTCATGGTTTACCTAAATAGGTATGGTGCCACAGCTTTGTGAATCCGTGAGTTTTCTTTTTTTTTTTTTGTAGGGCTGGAATAATTTAGAGAAAAATCTGTGGAAATTTTTTACTCTTAAAAGCTGCAAATCTTTTTCTGAGCTTCAGTTACAGTACTGCTTCCATTGTATGTAAACGTGTGAGAGACCAGCTATCCATATAGTTTTAATGTAGCTGTGCTCTAGATGATGTAACAACAGTCATTTATATTAGTCAAAGGTGACTTTATTAGTCCAATATGAAATCAAAAGTTAGAGTGTTCCCTGCCGTAGAATGGTGGCTACAGAAGAGAAAAGGGGAGTGCTGCAATCACATGTGATAAAACCACCAAAATTATAGAGAAAGGGTTTTTTTCACCTCTTTCTTAACTCAGGAGTTGTTATGCCCGTAAAACTTAAGTGATGTTAAGCATGGAAGTTTGTATTTCACTTGCAAATGAAAGAGATAAAGCAATGAGCCAGCTCCTCTTTCTTCCATTCCTAGAAATAAGAACTCTACTCTTATTTGCCAGAAGGCAAAGCATAGATAAGCAAAGGTTTGCATTCAGTTCCAGACCAAGTGCTTAGGTCTCTTTTAGTTTCATCAAAATTATTCTACCACCATTCATATCAACTGCAAAACACCACAACTATATTTCTAATAACTAATGACTTCCCAGCATGTAGGTGACTAATCACTAGTATTTTATTTTTGTCCAGCTCTTCAAATCAATACAAGTTCATTAAAAGAGCAATGTTAAAATATCTAGCAATCTGCTAATGCAGTAACCCTCAGGCTGTATCACATACATGGAAAGCTACATCAACAGAGGGAGGAAAACGTGGAGTCTTTTAATATTCCTTGCAGAAAAAAAAAATCAAAAAACCAACCATAATAAATCCACCAAAATCACCACTTCTGCTGCTGAGCACAGAGGTTAGTTAAATGACAACATCAAGAGGACAGAGAATATATTTTGTCTTAAGTGTCAGATTGCTGTCTTAAAGGGTTATCTTAATATTAAAGGGTAGACCAAAACTAAAAAAATGCAGTAAACAAGAATTTATTCCAGTCTATGATATTTTTTCGGATGTAACAGATACACAGCATCCATTACTGTGTGTTAAACAGCCTCATTTACCCCACACAGTATTACTGTACCTTTTTCATGCCAATATCCCTTGACTTGCTCCTCAGCTTATTAACTTGAGATTCAGCTATTTCAGCCCTTTCTTCAGCATCATCCAGATCATGTTGCTGTTTTCTGTACTTCGAGAGGTACAGATTGGCTTGAGCTTCCTGGTGAGAAAAAACAGTGTAGCTGATTTCCTCCTGTCCACATGAAACAAAGCTTTTCATTTGAAGTGGGATGGAAAGTGCTCAGCATGATGAGCTAACAGCCGTATGGGGACCATTTGCCTCCTGGAGAACTGAGATTGCTGTTTTACAGAGCTAATGTTTCCAGT